TTACATACATACATTCTACATCCTACATTACATACATTCCATACATACATACATTCTACATCCTACATACATACATTCTACATCCTACATTACATACATTCTACATCCTACATTACATACATTCTACATCCTACATTACATACATACATACATACATTCTACATCCTACATTACATACATACATTCTACATCCTACATTACATACATACATTCTACATCCTACATTACATACATACATTCTACATCCTACATACATACATTCTACATCCTACATTACATACATACATACATTCTACATCCTACATTACATACATACATTCTACATTACATACATACATTCTACATCCTACATACATTCTACATCCTACATACATACATTCATTCATTCTACATCCTACATACATTCTACATCCTACATACATACATTCATTCATTCTACATCCTACATTACATACATTCATTCATTCTACATCCTACATTACATACATTCATTCATTCTACATCCTACATTACATACATTCATTCATTCTACATCCTACATTACATACATACATTCTACATCCTACATCCTACATACATACATTCTACATCCTACATTACATACATACATCCTACATTACATACATACATCCAACATACATTACATACATACATACATTCTACATCTACATTCTACATCCTACATACATTCTACATCCTACATACATTCTACATCCTACATTACATACATACATTCTACATCCTACATTACATACATCATCTACATCCTACATTACATACATACATTCTACATACATACATACATTCTACATCCATACATACATACATTCTACATCCATACATACATACATTCTACATCACTACATACATACATTCTACATCCTACATACATACATTCTACATCCTACATACATACATACATACATACATACATTCTACATCCTACATACCATACATACATTCTACATCCTACATACCCTACATACATTCTACATCCTACATACCCTACATACCATACATACATTCTACATCCTACATACATTCTACATCCTACATACATTCTACATCCTACATACATTCTACATCCATACATACATTCTACATCCTACATTACATACATTCCATACATACATACATTCTACATCCTACATTACATACATTCTACATCCTACATTACATACATACATACATTCTACATCCTACATTACATACATACATACATTCTACATCCTACA